AAACTTGAAAGACACAGGAAGCATACAAGACCATGACTGCATATGAATTAACAGTACCTGTAGATATGCAACGTTCACAAATCCATAAATGACAAAAAAAACAAGGATATAGTAATATTACTGGTATTGACAAAAGATTAATATACCCTTAAAACAACACTTTCTACACAATACAGCGTGGTTATGGCATTCAGACTTTCCTTTGGACAAAACACAGATTGTTAAAAATCCTTGTGCTCAACTGTAAAGACACTCTCCCCGGGTGCAGGGTGAGATCATGTGTTCAAGCCTGGGTCATGTCACCAGCCCACTGTGATAAGGATTCCCCCAAGCGGTGACGTACAATGTCACCCTGGATGAGAGTAGGGCAAGATTAGCTGGCCGGGATCAATTCATAGATGGGGATTATTAGGAGGCCATGATTGGTTAGGGCCAATGGGAAATTTGGCCAGGACGCCGGGGTTACACCCCTACTTTTTTCGAGAAACACCCTGGGATTTTTAATGACCACAGAGAGTCAGGACCTCGGTTTTACGTCTCATCCGAAGGACGGCACCTGTTTACAGTATAGTGTCCCCCGTCACTATACTGGGGCATTAGGACCCACGTGGACCACAGGGTGAGCGCCCCCTGCTGGCCTCACTAACACCTCTTCCAGCAGCAACCTTAGTTTTTCCCAGGAGGTCTCCCATCCAGGTACTGACCAGGCTCACACCTGCTTAGCTTTAATGGGCTGCCAGGGTTGCCAACCTTCCTCATTCTCCTGGGTGCGGTAGCAGGGTTCATTGAAAAACACACAATTGGCGATGCTGGGTGTCACAAAAATAACAGGCGATTCCAAATACTAAACAAAACAGGAAGAAAATTCCACTGACGTTCTTTGCATTTAGAAGAATAACGAATAATTAACACACCACTAAAACTATGCTGAACTGTTTTTAACTTAACCTATACAGCAGTACCCTTTAAAGACATGTACTGCACGGAGAACAGACTACTTCAGTAAAACATACTTAATATCAGCATAATTATCAAGGTGACAAACATTAAGTACATGGGCATCTAGAGGATAATGAATGAGGTTTAGCATTGCTAAAATATATTTAACTTGATTGGGAGCAGGCGGCAGCCTATTTTTAAAGCTGAAACACACAGCGCTGTTCCAAGTACTTCAGCAAGGTCAGACACACTGCTGGTTATTCAGAAAAATAGGTCAGTAAGTGACATCAATACAGATATAATAAGAGATACAGGTAATTCCTTAGAATACAAATAATATAATAACCAGCAAAGCCTGAAGCAACTGCTAGAATACTGTATACTGGACTATGCTTTGACATACTGTTACTGATAATGTATGATATAGTATGATATATATATATATGATATCGTGATTTCCCCATATATAACCAGAGGAATGTACAGCAATGAAAATACATCCACTGCTTTTCAAGACTGAATAACTTTTCAAACACTTCCCTTAGGGTAATTAAGGTTTTCGACTCTGGGACCAATGCCTTGGCTTACAGTGAACAGAAATTTTGCAAAGCCAATTTGATCAGGGGATCTTTTAAAATAATGTTAATCTTGATCATGCGACACATTTAACTGGAAAACCAAAATAATGAGCAAAATCACAAATAAGGGTGCTGGGTCACTGCCTCTCTGGGAAAAAAAAACTGAAGCAAGCACAACTAGGAATCAAAGTCCACTGCAGCTGACATTTTTCCCAGCAGTTCCACTGCAGGCTCCACCACTGAAGGCTGACCTTCTGACAATGCAGCACCTTGGTGCACATAGCCTGCTGGTCTACTAAACTCCAACTCCCATTGTGCACTGCAGCCAGGCCCCACGCACATTTCAACAGAAAACCTTCTGAAATGGAGCACCAGGAAGGCACCATTAACACACGAGAAAACAACCAAAACAAAAGGATTAAGATGGAGATCTTTACGATTTACTGGCATTTCCAGAACATTGTAAAATTACAGCCTTTACCTGTTCAAAAAGAAAACCAATGGCAATAATAACTACAGACCTGTGATCCTGTGCCCAAGCACTCAGGTTGGAAGAATACGGAGCAGCTCCAATGGACAAGTGCTCAGTAGCTCTGCACACTGATCCAGGGAGAAGAAGCCACAGAATGAGATTCTGCAGAAGTGCCCCCGAGATGAACATGGCTGTAAGAGCTTAGGCTGCAGGGTATTAAGAGACAGTGCTTTAAGACTTCCTTAGCAGACACTCACTTGGAGATCAAGAGCAGTGAACAAGATCTTCAAATTCTCTTCTGTTGCACATTAACTGTAATTCCATTTGATCTGTGCACGCTTTCTTTCTCAAAAACACTGTTACAAGAGCTTTCTCTTGGATTAAATTATTTCACCGGTGATGGCTAGTGGTAAAACCCAATTCCTTCTTTTCAGGAATCGTCTGCTTTCCCTCCAAGTTAGACTCCACTGGTTGCTGTCCAAGGACCAACAGTGGGCAAAATGAGTGAACAGGGCTCTGATGTCCTAAGAGGAAGCAGGTGTATGTGCTGTACCCTTTAAGCGGACACGACACTGTAGCTTTCATTTCCACCTGGCCAGTGCCTCTTAAATCACTGCAGGCATCATTTCCGACAGCTTTAAAAAATGAGATGCAAAACCTTTTGAAGACAAATACCAGTTGCAGTAATAAAAACAATGACTTGTTTATAAAGTCATTCCAGAAATACAGTTCAGTTAGGGTACCTTCCTGCATATGTGTTGCTTGCCTGTAAAGAAATATTTATTTTCCAAGAAACATAAACATAGTAATCTTTAATTCCTGAAACTGATCTCAGAAGAAGGCTGTACTTTCCCTTTTGCAGCATTTTGAGAGTAATGAGGACCAGATGTGAAACAGCAAGGAGAAGTACAATCAGAATGCCACAGGACCCAAATGTTCCCAAATAGGCTAAATGGTCCCAAATGGCCACAATCTTAATCCCAGTTTTTGCAAGGGCAATTTCCTATCCAAACAGTCACGTGGACAGCTGTAATTATACTAAATTCATGTAACTGATCAATTTAAGTTCAATTAACTTTTAAAATTAAATAATTTGTAGACGATCAATGCAGCCAAGGTTCATTATTGCAGAACAACACAAACTATTGAATTGCCCAGGAGCAATGCGTGTCTGTGGCTCAGGAGAAAGACGTCTAGGGCTTCCTGCTCAGCACATTGGCACTGTGACCTTTTCCAGCAAATATGGACAGAAACTGGAGGGTTTAGAAACAGTGTCGAATTGGAAAATGAAATACGATGGTACTACAGCTGTAAAACTAGCACACGCGCCATTGCCAGTGGAGCAGGCTAACAGGGAGAGATGGGGTTTCCATTCTCAGTGCTGATGAAGAGAAGACCACTGAGGAAAGACGGAGATATAGCCCACAAACTCCTTTTCAAATGACACTCCTCATAATATCCACGCCTGAGCTTAATTACACACACACTTCAACCCTCCCGACTTAAAATTGGCATCATATGGACAAAGCCTTTTCTGTTTTGAACTGATACAGCAGGTTCTCAGGTCATGCACCCAAATGCCACTCAAGCTGGTAGATGTGCAATAAAAGAAAAATGACTTTGTGTCTTGCCTAGCTGTATCTGGAGCCTGTGCAATTTGCAGTTTTACCCCCGTGAACAGACACTGTGATCTCAGAGTAGCATTTCATGCAAGAAACTGCGGAGACGCTGCATCTTAATTTTAAGATGCTGCTGTGTCACGTACTGTATGCAAATCCTATCAGTCCTATCAGCAGCTTGTTAAAAGAAATTACCCGCTTAGAAGCCTGCTCTGCTGTTCCCAGCATGCCGCTGTGGTGCTAATGGGACTAGGCATTGGCCGTGCCAGCTGCCAGTGACGACTGCCCCAGCTGAAGCCATGACCAGCTGCTCTGCACCGCAGTACGACTCTCACAGCCCTGTGCTCACCACAGGCCCACGGATCACTGTGCACAGGACCACAGTGGGCTTGACTGCATCTGAGGTGAGGTGCTGCTTCAATTTTATTTTTAGTGTCTTATCACAGCGTACCGGTTGGCAAGCCACAAGGTACAGTACTAGAATGGATGATACAAATGAGTGGTTTCTCACCTTCTTTTCATCTTAAAATGTATGAATCCATATATTTACACAGTAACCCACTAACAGAACAATTTTATAAGTTTTAATTGAGACCAGACAGACCACTTGGTCTAGAAACTTCAATCAGTCTGTTATTATTTTTAGTCATTTGTGAAGATGAATTGTTTAATTGGTGGTGGTGGAGGGGAGTCTCCGTTACCTGTAAAGTGCTTTGAGTGGAGTGTCCAGAAAAGAGCTATATAAGTGTAAGCAATTATTATTATTATTATTAAATATTAATGAACAAAAATAAATGACATATAACAGTGTGATACTTTATTGAACCAATACGTGAAGACTGAAGACTTGCAGGACATTTTACAGGAGCAGCTGAGTAAAGCGTCTTGCTCACAGGTGTAACGAAAGACTTGAAGCTGCAACGCCCCAACCCCTCCTCCGTCCCACTCCCTCCTGGAGTGCAGAGCTCTAACCACCTTTACTGCTTCCTTTAAGATTTTCATTTAAAAAAGGAAGAAAACTCAAAAGGGTAAATCTAAGATCAATATCAAATATCAAACCCAAGTCTCTTTGGCTTTAATGAGTAGAATACTTTTTTTCTGATGCAAATGAAAAGCAAAGGAAGTCTCTCTCGCTGCCTTTGTGTCTGGCTGCCAAGGAAATGCGCTTAGTGCTGGAGACCTCTCACGCATCGAACCGATCGATCTTTTTTCTCCTCCAGATTAAGTTAAAAAAAAGAGAAGAAACCAATGTGCCAGAGTCTGATCCCCACAAATCCAGACTAATTTCACAATTTGTGTCACCTGTAAAAAGCTGTGTGTCAGTGAGACTCTGCTTGCTGAGCAGACAGGGGTCTCCAGGCTACAGTAAGACAGCGGGTCACATCTCCTTACCTGAGTAAGCGGCTCATGGCGTGCCTGGAGGCATAGTGCAGCGGGGTGTTGTGTTGATACGGTTCCCCATATGAGGTATTGGGGTCCAGGGACTCCTTAAACTGCGGATTGCTCTCATACAGCTGGTAGGCCAAGTTCTCGTCACCATTGATAAGAGCCTTACGAAATTTTGTCGCCGTGTTCCCCATAGTTCAGTTTCCCTTCAGTGCTGTTGGCACGTGCTTGTCCTCCCTCTTTAGCCCATCGATGTGCAAAGTAGCATCATGTCCCTGGTCCTGGGAGGGAGAGAGAGAGAGAGAAGGAAGACATGTTAAATAATAATAATTGCTTACACTTATATAGCGCTTTTCTGGACACTCCACTCAAAGCGCTTTACAGGTAATGGGGATCCCCTCCACCACCAGTTCCAACCTGGATGACGCGACGGCAGCCATAGTGCGCCAGAACGCTCACCACACATCAGCTCTCGGTGGGGAGGAGAGCAGAGTGAAGAAGCCAGTTCAGAGATAATTGGCTTAAATCCCGGAAGGATCACCAAAGGTGCTGCCTAAGCCTTGACTGAGGCCGACATGGTATAAAAATAATAAAAACATATCCAATGTGTATGAATCTTTACAATAAAGCTTGATAGATAATACCAGAAACTGTTGTCTTTCGGGTCTCTGTGGTACAAAGTGAAGCTGTGAATACCAACGAATGGAAGTTTCTCACTCAATGTCCACAAAGCAGGTGCAAAGAGCAGGACAGAGCAAATCCCTTCACCAAGAAATAAGCGTCTTTCTTCACAATAGATGTAAGCCTCATAAAGCTTCCTGAAGACCAAACAAATGAACCCTCAGTTGCTCTCGAAGAGGCTGCCCAAAAAGGCCTAATAACGTCTGACAACTCCTCACTACAGTGAGAATAAAGGCCAGCAGCTGTTTGCATTTTTTTCTGTGTCGCAGCTCTTGCTGAAGGCTACAGGACATCACTCCCCACATGCCCAGCTCAATATCTGATGTGGTTTAACTTCAGTAAAGGAGCCACGGGTACCTAAAGCTCGCAGCTAGCAACCAGATGGGTCACAAATACTGTGCTTTTGCGTAAGCATGCTTGCATCCATACATACTTGAATTCTAGCCCAGTAGACGGGTTTATCAATCTCCTGCAAGTGCATTGGCCAGATGTTCAATTCTGGACTAATACAAAAACATATAGAATGAGCTTTTCTAAACAAAATAACCCTCAACAGAGAACTATATACCACAGAAGCTGCTGCTCAGAACATCCAGCCTCACTGAAGAACTCTCACTGTGAATACAATTCTTCAAGTTTTAAAGGGAAAAGCTCTGACAGTGTCAAGAAAGCATCCCTGTTTCGAACGCCTCAGCATTTACATTCCCCCGTAATGAAATTACAATTTTCATCCTGATTAATGGAACAAGGGAACCCAGGAGAAGACAAGGCTTAGGCCTACATCAGAGGACACTGCTCCAACTGTTCTTATGTGTCCAGGCCTAATGCCAGCTTGCAGCTGCTGGTTTTACTACAGAGCAAGTGCTGTTGCCAGGCTCCACAGCAGACTCTCCAGAACAGACCGTAGAGGCACAGTGGCAGCATGATTGATGCATACAGAGTTGGCTGGAAAGCAAGCTGGTGACTCAGAGAGCCCCAAGACCCCTGGAATCAATGCATGTCCCTGTGCCTTTGCCTCTGTACAGTAGCACATACATACTGGAGTTACGTACGTCACTCTCACTGAAAACAAGGAAATGATCTAGAGGCCTTCAATGGCTTCTGTGCAATGCACATTCAGAAATGCGAAGCCTGTATACACAGAAGTGCACATAGCCTTTCTACTTTGACACAAGTCATCCCTCTCCTCTGAGTGCATTCCCTGCCGGCTATTCAGATTACGCCTTTTCAATGAGTACCTTCATCACCTGGAGTAAACGTGGCTGCTTTTTCATTTCAGGCTTCTGAAAACTTTAAAGAATGTGTATTTGTGTCAAATAAAACTACATACCATATTGTCATAACACACAAGGATTAATTGGTCTATTTTAATAACGTTGTCTTTGGACAAACATATCTTTACTGGCATGGAAGTTTTAATTATACCCGTCACAAAGAGATTTAATTCAAAACACAATATTGTAATGAGATAAGAATAGCCAAGAGTATCTCCAGGAAAGTATGTAAAAATTATTATCATACGACCATTTTACCAAAGTATTTCCAAATAATCAATTTTTCCCTGGGACTAAGTCTAGAACCATTGTGATACTGGTGTTTATGCACTGTATATACATGTTTATAATAATTATTGTAATAGTATACACTATTGTTTTTACAAATCAGAACACATTTTCTGAGAGGTCTGAAGACCTTTTGAACTAATTTCAGAGATTTTAATTTTTTAATCATGATATTTTAAGTGTAGGAGTGTGTGTATAGGTGAGGGCAGATGAGATTAACAGCCCTCTCTCGTTTGCAAACTACCTTATGTTATGTTGCAGTAGTAGGATCAGACGTACAAGCAGTAATATTAAATAGCCCTTAAAGAGCCCCTTTCCTCGAACAGCTGGATAGGCTCCATGTCTGTGGACGTTGTGTTAGTCTTCGGCTCCATAACTGTAGAAAAACTGGGCTAGTCCAAAAGGGGAATAATCTACACCTTATAAGTAATCTTCCACTTGTAATTTTTGGAATTGTTTTTCTGAGACATGGCTTTCATTTAAGAAATATAATAATAAAAAGAAGAGGGCAAATGAGCAATTAATGATAGTCTTTGCACCCTTTCAAGCACAGCCATGGGTAGCCGCCATTGGCCGAATTGCTAGAATACAACTGGAAATAACAACAATATGACACAATGACACCCGCTGTTTTACTGACTTGCAATAACTCATTTTTCATCTCTGCGTACCGGGATGTTGAGAATTACTTCTTGTCCATTCATCTCATTCATTTGCTCAGCTCCTATAAAATGCAAATTATGCATTAAAGGGAGGAAAAATATTTTCTCTGCGTCCCATTGTGTGCAGTACACATGAAACTATGTTACCTAAGATTTTCATTTGCCTGCTCTCAAACAGCGCAATGGAGACATTCTAGCATCAAATTGGTAATCTGTGCGATAACTACATTTATATTTTACTACTTACATTCTTGATACCAATCAGTTTTATGAGCTTCTGTCCCTGAACACTAAGAATTCCGAGACTGATGTAGCACAATACCCATCTCTCCTCATTTACATTTTGAGGACTTCAATAAATAACCTGCTGTCCAATTTTGTCACCTTGTTAAAATGTGCTTCAGTTTTATGAGAACTCTGCTTAGCTCAGGATGTGAAATCAATGAATGAAATCTTTTGTCCAGTACGCTTCTCACAAATGTGCATTCTGTTTTTTAAGGAGATTTTCTTTCAATCTCACTGCAAAAACAACAACTTAAAACACGTGATTATATCATTTTAAGCAGTTCAACAAGTTTTGCACAACTTCAAAGCAATCTTTCTTCAAAGCATTTCATTCCCAGCTGATGACCTTAGCGCACCCTTTTAGGCGAGACTTAAATTACAACCGAATTCAGGAATGAATTAAACGAATCGGGTTTAAAACTGCACATCTTCATGTAGGCCTAACTAGCGTGTTGGAATGAATACGTCTAAATTCTGACAAACATGAAAAATGTGATCAAGTCAGACTGACAGATCAGAGCCAGTGGGCAAGAATGAGTCATGCTTGCTCCCATTTATGACACTTGATTATTTTATTTACACATCTCATTATTTACACGATTTCATCACAATTGCTTGTTGAATCAACAGCATTTTGCAGAGAATGCCTGGAAATCATCTGACCTCCTACTCCTACTTCCCTAAATGCCTTCGTCTTTGTGCTGTTATTTTCTCCGTCCCAAATTCTCTTCCCAAGCATTATGTACTTAGACAAATGTTACACCCTAGTCAGGATAATCCTCCAAGTTATTTAAATGGACTCTGCCATTTCACGCCCTAAAAAGACACCTCATGAAGCTGTGTGGTGCTAGGCAGTACACCCAATCCCAGGTACGCTTATCACTACTCCAGAATTTTCCTCCCACCAATGAAAATATTACCCCAGAACTGTCAAAAACAAAATACAGCTGGAACTGCAGAAGCATTCAAAGTTGTATTTGTAACACAAATTCAACATGCTAAGAAAATTAATCATACTGGTGTTAAAATCTAAAGTTGACCACATTCTAGAGTTAGTTACCATAGCACTACTCCTCAATATAGCAGGTGACACATGTGAAAAGCTCTCTTCATTGCTCATTCATCTTGATCTTCTACAGTTTGCATAGAGGGCCAACAGGTCAGTAGAGGATGCGGTTAACATAGGTCTTCACTCCACTTCGCAACATCTAGAAACCTCCTCAGGCGCACATGCAAGAATAATGTTTTTGTGAATTTTAGCTTTGCATTTAATACTACCATTCCTGAACTCCTTCACAATGAAGTGTTGATGAATGAATTGTTCAGCTTGTTCCATCTGCCAGTGAATTTTCTACTTTTTCACAGATAGAAGGGAATGGGTACAACTAGCCCCTTAGTTGTCAGACTTTGTGAATACTGCCGGACCTCAAGGGTGTCTGCTTCTCCCATTACTCTATTCCTTGAACACCAACGACCGCTCCTCCAGCGTTCATCCCTGTAGGTCTCATCAGTAATGATGACAGGACCATGTACAGGAGGGAGGGGAGTTGGTTGGTATCATGGTTTGCTAACAGCCACCTGGAGCTTAATGAAACATGTCAGCACTATCACAAAGGAAGCATAGTCAAGAATGAATTAGTTCAGGCAGGTAGCTGCGTCAGCATGCGTAGGCTGCAAAGGAACAGGTAACGGGTTTGTTCCATGCTGAAAAGAAAAGAATCCCAACGTTGTTTCCTTTTCTTTTCTTTTCAGCATGGAATAAACCCGTTTCCTGTTCCATAGTAAAGAATGTACTTTTTGCGCTAACTGGAAAATGTTGGCGTATCTCAACCAATTCTGCTACAGTTTTACACAGCCATTATTGAGAGCACTCTGACTGCCTTTATAAGTGGTGGTTTGGCAGGACGTCTGCCTGTTCCAAAGGTAAACTGCGATGTGTTGCTCGCTCTTACGGAGATGGTAATTGGCTGTTATCTGCCCTCCACTGATGATTTCTACAACTTCAGAGCAAAGCTGACGGCAGGAAAGATCGCTGACGGCTTCTCCCCACCACGGTTACCACCTGTTTCATAAACATCTCTCAAAAAAGAC